GGCAGGGAGAAACATCGATGTGTTTCTCTCACATTGATTGGTTGCTGCACATGCCCAGTCTGGAGCCAGGTCTGCAACCCAGGTCTGTGCCCTTGACCAGGAATCCAACCCATGATCCTTAGGTGTATGTGTGGGCAGGCAATACTCTATCCACTGAGCCACACTGGCCAGGGTATGGCAAAATTTTTAAAAACAGAGTTTAGCAGCCATTTCTACACAGGGGCCTGTCACACAAACTGCACTTATGGGAGAAGCCTGCACTGAACTACCTGCCTCTGCAGTGGACTGCCTGCTTATACTGTGTTTCTGCCAGCTGAGCCAGCCCTTATAAAGAGTTCCGGGAATCCTATTTTCAACCAATAGGACTGAGGCTTTTTCCATCCAATTGGAGTTGTGCAACTATATCCCCATCAACATCTTCACCAACCAATCAGGATAATGCCTTTTGGACCAATCAAACTTTGAGGATTTGAAGTCCTTATTTGCATGAGGATGGATCAATCAGGGACCAGGGGCAGGGACTTCTGTCTAGATAAGCCAGCTCCTCTCTGACTCAGAGAATGTACTTTTCCTTTCCATTGAAGACTGAAGACTGTTTCCCTGGCTGAGCTGAAACACTGAAGACGTTTCACTGGAGCAGAGAGGAGCAGAGCAGACTGGCACAGACCAGAGTGGACTGGCATAGAATGAAGCAGACCAGGGGAGAGCACAGCAGAGTAGCCCCAGCATAAAGCAGGCCCATAGGAAGCTGAACAGACCAGCGAGGAGCAGAGCTGTATAGCCACAGAGGGGCCTGGCTCCAGGGCTGCCTCACAGCCATGCTATTTTCACAGCCATACTATATCACAAGTGAGCTGTTTTGCACTGAATCAAGTTTTCTTCACTGCATACCAAATTGGGAATTTCTGTTGGCACTGAATTGGCAGCAATGGCCATGGGTTGATAGTACTCACAGAAAAATGTATGTGAAGTGCTTCTCCAATGTCATCAGCCTCATAATTTAGAACTTCTTGCAAACTCCTAATGAAAATTTGAGTTTAAAAATTATATTTATTGATCTCATAACATTTCAAAAATGTATAAAATGCCATGTAAATTTTCTCTCCTCCACCTTCCCACTCCCTCTTCTGAGAGTTAACCTCTACAGTTTTGATTGGTTGGACCACTGCTAACACAAGACACTGCTTTGTCTTGGTGAAAGTTACAAAAAGAAGCCCCTTCCTATAGGCCAGTGATTCTCAACCAGGGGTGCTTTTGCCTCCCAGGAGACATTTGGAAAAATGTGAAGTCATCTTTGGTTGTCAAAGAGGACGGTTAAAAAACAAACAAACAAATAAACAAAAAACAACTAGAGGAGGGCTGCTACTGGAATCTAATGGGTAGCAACACTATATGCAGCTCAACTTCCTACTATACCCAGGACAGCCTTCCACAACAAAGGATTATCCAGACAAAAATGTAAGGGGGTTCTCAACCCCTGCTCTAGATTGTCAGGGCATACAGTGTAAATCTAGCTAGTTTACTCTTTCACTAACAGTCCATGAGAGGACAATCCTTTTCCCCAATCTGGTTGTCAACTCGGTATGCTATGAAACTTTTAATAGCTGTCAATGGTTGAGCATATTTTCATGTTTTGATTAACAATATATATACAATATGTGATGACTCATATATATACAGGGGTTGGCAAAAGTAGGTTTACAGTTATGAGTATGTGAAACAGAGTTAATTATTTATCTATTAATTATTGTATTATTTACTTATATTATTTGTCTTATTACTATAGTTATTATTTCATATCCTTAATTATGCTTTATCTTTTAGGTAATGATGGATGGTAATTTAACCAACTTTTGCCCACCCCTGTATATTTATACATCAGAGATACTAATCATTTGACTATTATATGTTGCCAGTATTTTCCTCATAGGATATAGTTTGCCTTTTAACTTAAAACAAGCATTTTCAATCCTTAAAAATAAAGTTGATGGCATGCTAATTTATTTAAATAAATTAAATATGATTAAGTACAATTTATTCAAAATAAATATAGCACGCATGATTCTCATTAAGAATATTGTGTACTGTCCAAAGCACCTGTTTCCATCTGGATAAATTCAAGAGAACAGGCTCTGTTTACTGTACTGGTTGATAATCAGAGGAACATTTGGCTTTTCTCCATTTTTGAAGGTTTACTTGATTATAAGTCATGCTAAAATTAAAATTCATCTAAAGAGCACACACTTACTGAAAATGAAGACCTTGTGTGTGTCTGTGTGTGTAACATCATTTATGCCTAAACAACTAAGATTTACTAGATAAAGTCCTGGAAAACCATTTACTTACTTCCCCAAAAGAGGACTGAGTTCTTTTAAATCTTCCAATGATGGCTTTTGGTCCAGAAGTTTCTTAAACAGAGCCAGTGGGAAAGGAATATCAGCAACATTTAAATCATACAAGGAGAGTCCACACAGCTTCCCAAAGAGGAGATATTTCTCTTCCTTAAGTTTAGGCTGGAAAAGAAGAAGAAAAATCCCCTAATATATTATAATCAATAATCCAATGGGATAACTAGTTTAGTTTAAAAAAAAATGTTTTTGGTTCCCTTTTCTAAAAGTCACAAATTGGAAATAAAATGGGCTTCAGGAAAATAAAAACTTCAGGTTCTTACTCAGGCTATAATACAATTCAAAATATTCCCATAAATTAAAATACAAAGTAAGAGTTCATGATATTAATAAATGAATTTACTTTTTGTTAGTAACAGCATACTTGGAATATAAAAAAATATGCTCACATGAACTTATAAGCTAAGGTTTCCAATATTTAATTTTATAGTCTTTGTCTTCAAATTCATATAGAAAAATGACACTGTGGAAGAAAAGGTGAACTTTATCTACACTTTCAGCAGGCATCAGGTATGTCAGATGTGTGTCAGATAAGTGGTGTCCCTTCGGCAATATAACCCTCAACCTAGGTGTCCTTACAGGGACAAGCATACGGGTCAGGGAAGGTGAGTGATGCTGTTGACTGTGAAGGTGGGTGGAAGAAAGAAGGAAAGAGTCCTGATGATGTTGGCTTCACTCTCCTCTCTACACTGGCCACATCTGGCCAGGCCATCACTACAGCCCAGCCAAGAGATCACCAGCCTGCTGATGCTTTTAAGATTTCTATTCCAGTGCCAGCCTTGCTGTTAGCAGGGGCATGACCCTGGGCCACCCCCTTAATAGTTTGTGCCTCAATCTCCTTGCCCTATTTTCTTCTTAGAGTAATTGTGAGGATAAATGTAAAATGCCTTTGAATTTTGAAAATGAGTTAAAAATACAAGTACTCTCCGAAGGTGGCCTCCCCTAGCCTGTTCAGTCTTATTTCCTATATCTGTCATGTGTCCCTGGTTCTAGTTGATTTAGTCTCTTCACTGAGCCATCCATGAATCAGACTTTTGTCTATTTTCTATTCGACAGTGTAGCACAATGCTTAAGAGTAAGAGCTTTGTGCAGTCCTGAATTCATATCCTAGCTTAGTCACTTGCTAGTTGAATGCCCTTAGTTTATTTAATCTCTCTGAGTCCAGTTTATTTATCTGTAAAATGGGGACAAATCATCTACCTCACAGCGTTGATGTTAGGTTTCTTTTCCTCCTCTCTGTCCCTCAGTCTTTGATCTATTTTGTCCCTACACTTCAACATCAACCTCAGGTCTCCACTACTCCATTACACTTTCTCCAATCACTTCAGTCCCCCTTGATTACTTTCTCTCTAAATAAAGAACCCCTTAAATTTCTCACGGTGCTTTCAAAGTTGGATGTATGCCTTGTCTTGTTGTATTCTCACAACAGTCCTGTAAAGCAGGCAGAGCAGAAATTATGACAGTCATTTTATAGGTGAGGAAACTGAAAACTCAGAGAAGCTGAGCCCACTATCACTCTGGGCTTCCAATTCTACATCAGTGCTTCCTTCTCACCCTTCTGTGCTCAACTACTATTAAATATAAAGTCAACAATCCATAATTTAGAAACAACTGCTAAAGTTCCTGGTATTTTAGTCTTATCACTCCAACTACATATACAAAAAGAGGAAAGGGATTGTGTCGTACACTGATTTGAATCTTCCACAATATTTAATACAACAAACAGTCAATAAATGCTTGTTGATTGACCCATAAAAATCCTACCACTTGTACCCCTTGGCCATTCCTATCTTTTAAAGGTTCATTCTTTCTCAGAAAGATACAAATCGCTTTTCAGTACTTTTCCACACCCATTCATCTTTCTTCTCCTCTTCCCTGTTTCCTGGGTTCGAAACTTCTACTGGGAAGAAATGTATCGGAAAGGGTATCCATAAATTGAGGCTCAACATGATTCTTTTAAGAATTATTCTCTCTGTGTTACTAATAGGGAAACGAAGACAAGTTTTTTGTTACTTTAAGAAAATGTTTACATGTCAAGGATCTTTGTAATAAAATAATGCAGAAATGAAACGCCTTATTAGAATTAGCAATGATCTCTAGGAGTCTATTAATAATTTCTCTCCTAATAGAAGCATTCTAGATTACTGTCTCTCAAAGTTTAGGAAACCACCCAAATATCCATCAGAGGTGACTACATAAGCAACATGTAGTACATCCATACAATGGAATGCTACTCGGCAACAAAAGGGAAGGAACTATGGATACATGCAACAACATGCATGAGTCTCAGCATAATTATGCCGAGTGAAAGGGGACAGACACAAAGACTACTTATGATTCCATTTATATAAAATGTTAGGAAATTCAAACTACTCTGTGGTGACAGTTGTTGCCTGGGCATGGGGTAGGGGGCAGCAGGGCTGTAGTCGCAGGAGAGGAGTAGGGCTAGAAAGGGATACGAGGAAACGTTGGGACATGATGTAGAAGTTCATTATCTTGATTATATATGTACATCAAAACTTATCAAACTGGACAATCTATGTGCTGTTTATGGCATCTCAAGTGTACTTCATTAAAGCTGTTTACAGATATACCATAATGTGCATATGTACTACCTGGGGATCTTATAAAATACATGGGCCTGAGATTCTGCTTTTCACACAGCTCCCAGGAGGTGCTGGAGCTGCTCTATGGACCATATTTTGAGTAGCAAGGCTCTATATGACCTAATTTTACGTTATTTATTTATTTATTTTATTTATTTTATTTTTTAAATTCTCACCCAAAGATATTTTTCCATTGCTTTTCAGAGTGGAGGGGGGAGAGAAGAGACATCGATGTGAGAGAGACAACATTGGTGGGATCAGTTGCCTTCCATATGCGCCCAACTGCGCTATAACCTGGGATGGCACCCACAACCTCGGTATGTGCCCTAGGGAACGAAACCCATGACCTCTGGTGCACGGGATGCTTCAACCAACTGAGCCACACCGGCCAGGGCCGAATTTTACATTATGCATGGTTCTCATGTTGCAGCATACGGTAGACATTTTCTGTTCTGAAAAACCGTAAGAAAATAAGTAAAAGACTTACCCTGACAGGGAACCACATGTAGGAACCCTTTTCAGGATATATGAACATTCCATATTCTGTCTTGGTCATCTCTTCAAATATACAGTGGAAGAACTCAGACTTTACCCCACGACCCACAGAACGAATTTCTTTAATAAATTCAATCTGAGGAAAGAGAACACTCTCAGGATGAAAACATAATGCCTTGACTGTTATGGAAAATATTCAAACCTCCTGCAGTCACTAAATTTTGATGTTCTTCAATCCTCTGTGCCATTAAATCCCAATTTTTCTATCTTGTCTATTTTTATTGCATCATTCAGACTTTAAAAGTTTGGTTGCAGTCAACAACTATTTGACTTCTCCTGCCCCTCCTCTCATTGGGACTTCTGATAAACAGCCCTCCCAGTAAGCCCGAGCATGGCATCTTTGTAGGAACCATCAGACCAGTCTGCCCACATCCCGTTTGTGGGAAATCAATATGAACTAGACCCTCTTTTCTAAAGTCCACCTTTGGACTTTGTGGCTGAGCACACTCCCAGTTTTCCTCTCTACTCCTCTACTTCCTTTCCTGGCTAATTTCTTTTTATCTTTTTAATATAAGCATCGCTAAGCTTGACTAAGAGTTCTCTTTTTGCCTGGAAGATCTTATCTATCGCCACTTTGATCAACTGATTCCTTGGCCACAGATTGTCCATCTCCAAGGACCTGCCTCACATTCTATCTGGATAGCCCAATAACAAATTACTCTTACTTCCGATTTTCTTATTTCTGCTCATTTACACTAGCAAGTCTGCCTTCATCGTGGTCAGGACACACTCATAATGGGCCTTGACAACCTTGCCTTGTTCAGAGTCAATCTTTTGATCAGATCTCTCTTGAAGTTTACCTTCTTACCTCTTTGTCATCTCCTGTAGGTAGAATCATTTTCTATTCATTTCCTCATAATCAAGACTTAAAGGAAAAGTAGGTACACAGGGAAACATACAACTAGAAAGCCTGGCTTATAAAATAGTTTCTTTGTGTTCCATTGGAGTCCCACTCTGGGAAATACCTCTCTTCTGTGTGAGTCTCACCGTTCAGGTTCGGGTTTCTTCTCTGAGAACCTGACTCTTCCCCTCATAGCTGATATCAGGAAAATCCACTCTCTCCTGAACAGACTCCAGCTCTAATCTACAGAGTTAGTCATTATTTTATAGCTTCAATAGGGCAAATAATCTGAGGTACCACACAATAAAATTCCTACAGGTGCCCCCACAGGATGAAGTGAAGGATGGCTAGTTGGAACCAATATGGTAGTAAAAGGTCTATAACTAAAAGTAGAGCCAAAATGTAGGAAAGGTATCTGTTTCACCTGCTGCTTGTGAATTGAATGAACAGCCCCAGTTCTTCACCCCTCCTTGACCTATGTCTTTTGCATGTGATTTTGCAGTTCCTCCCATTAAAGAGGTTGAGTGTATTTTACAAGCTCTTGATGTAGGTTCAGCCATGTGACTTGCTTTGACTAAAGCAATGTTTGTTGTGTGACTGGGCTGGTTATCTTGTACCTCTGGCACTGCTGTGAGAAGAACACGTCTGCTGGTCCCAGGAAGAAGATGAAAAACATGGGAAGCAGAGCCAAACTGCCCCAGCCAGGCCTAGGCTAGATCAGCTGATCCCCTAGCCAACTCCCAAACTTGCAAACACATGCATACAAAATCTGCAAAGCCACCCAGATAAGTTCAACCTCGATCAGCAGAGTTTCAACTGAACTGCAGATAAAATAAATTATTGTTATTTTAAGTCAGTAAGCTTTGGGACGGTTCGTTACAGCCATAGGTGACTACTAGTTAACTCATAATCCCAATGTTCAGTTAAACATTCCATAGCTTTTCTCTGAAGGATAAGTGAGGAATTCTGGAAATCATAAGGCTGATGATAACTGTAGTTGCAAATGCAGGCTCTTCCTTTGCTACATTACATAAATGTTTCCCTCCCACATTAGTAAAAATGTCCAATGAGACTTTTTACTGTACCACTAATTCTTTCCAAAGGTCAGTGACTTCAGCCTGGCTTAACTGTCGCAGAGCATCTTTAATTAGGTGACTTCGTCTGACTCGAAGTGAAAATATGGGTGGTGGAGGGAGCGTATTCTCTCCTGGCGGAATCATCTGTGACATCTAGAAAAAGAAATATTTTAGGAATCCTCATGGGAATACTAGGAAATATTTAATATTTCAAATAAATCTATTTAGTCTAAAACACAATACTGCCTATCATTGTTATATATACTCAAGGAAAAGAGTATCATATGTACACTATGGAAGAGAAAAGGTGGGAGAATCTGTGAAACTGGTACCGTGGATTAATCATTATGGACGTACAACTAAGTAATTAAAAGCTATCACAGATCACTTATTATATATAGTAAACACGATCCTTAAAGGCAATACTGGTGTGCACCATGCTGAGACCTTCTCCCACCAGTCTTAAGAAGCAGTGTTAGCACAATAATACTCAAGAATATTAGGGCAGTTTAGGAGCTCAGGGACAGTGGGAGATGTAGGAAACAGACTAGAGGAAAGGCTTCAGCAGAGAAAATTCACTCTTCTTCTTCAAATAACTCTTATTTTTCTATGTGTATGGGAAGTCCCTTAAAATATGCCACCAGTGGCCACATTTTGTGCCTAGCATTGTTCTGTCACCCCACATAGTACTTCCATTAAGATTTTCTGAGCCCGGCCGGGCGTGGCTCAGAGGTGGAGCATCGACCTAGGATCCAGGCGATCAGGGTTCAATTCCCGGTCAGGGCACATGCTGGTTGCGGGCTTGATCCCCAGTCGGGGGTGTGCAGGAGGCAGCCGATCAATGACTCTCTTATCATTGATGTTTCTCTCTCTCTCTCCTTTCCTCTCTCTGAAATCAATAAAGATATATATATAAAAAAAATGATTTTCTGAAAAAAATTCTCAACATGTCCTTACCACTTTAGTTCCCTGATCCTGTTTCTGCTGAACTCCCTTGGATATCAGAAATGTAGTGTTGGAATTACTATCCTTGCTTTGACCTTTAACCCTCCTCTAGGGCTTCTGCTATGTCACAAGGACAATAAAGGAGTATTTAGGACTCATAAACCAACGTCACCATTGCAATAGTAAGACAGGTGGATGATAGCTATCTTATTCTAGGTTTCCAGGCTGGGTGTGGTTGCCCATATTAGCACTCTACAAGCATCTCGGAGAAGTGTGTGCATGTGGCTCTGGGCTTGGGAAAGCCCTGTCCCAGATCTCTGCTACCACTATAGACTGAGAAATTATATGTGATTCCACTAGATTCTTCTGGCTTTTCCCTAAGATCTTTGTGGTAAAGAAGCTCCACATTTGTAGGGAGATGGAACAAGTACCATTTCTAGTCCCTCCTGGTAGTGGGTCATCTCCTCCTATGTCCCAGGAATCTACAACTCTGGGACACTTCAGCAATACTGACTGCTAAGATACATGTCCAGTGGCTCTGAGTGACAGGAGTGGCCAGAAATATCCTGCACTGACTAAAGCAGGGAGAGCTGTATGTGTCCTGTTGTAGGTCCAAGATTCTCTCACCTAACCAAGAATTGGACTTGAAACCTGTATATCTTATTTTCCAATTCCTCTACTCCCATTCTCCATGTATTGGTTTCCCATTTCTACATTTGTGCATTTGAATTAATAATCAGTTTGGAGCTTACAATTTTTACTATGTCCATCATCCATCTCTCCTCTGGAGGACAGGATTCTGGAGCTTGCTTTGTGACTTCACTCATGACAACTACAACTACGAATTTTCTTGTCCTCAAACATTTCCCAATCCTTCATGATATGTAACTTGCCCAGGTCCACTATCCACTCAACCCTCACTAACAGAGTAGACCGGGTGGACAGAAAATTTCTAAAGAAGAAAATAACGTAGAGGGAAATCTTTGCTTAAAGGAACCTTAAGGGGAAGTTAGATTTGGAAAGGAAAGATTTAATCTATGTTCTCCCATTACCAGGAATGTTAGGAAAATTAAAAAAAAGAAGAAAAAAAAAAGAGGTGGCTGGGAAACAGAAGCGATGACCAAGTCAATCTGATGATAGACACTAATAACGGTAACTGGAAGGAGAGTCCTTAACTATGGAATGCTTTTAGCAGGACACACCTTGCCCTTCCAGGTTGCTTATTATAAACAAATGTGGCATTTATGGATTTGTTAGGCATGGCTCAGTGGAAAATGTCATAAAAGCACTGTAATTAATAGGGAATGAAAAGGAAATGTTTTATTACTGAAATGACTCCTTTTGTACATGTGATATCCCAGACTTTGACATGTTTCACTTAGATGGCCCATATCCTTTGAGTTATTAGTAAAAGTAATGGTATGTTTCTGATTCCTGTGAGTTTAAAGTATAAACATCATAAAAAATAGGTACAAACCTTTCCTGAGGAATGGCCTAAAAAACAAGCCTCAGCAATAAAAAAAATGCTTGGAAACTTGGTAGCATAATGTCTGGGCACAGGGTGAGCATAACTGAGAATTATGTGATTAGAGAGACATGTGTTTTGTGGGAATAATACAACTACCAAAAAAAAGGATGGAAGGGAAAGCATAAATGGAAAACGGAATAAACAAATTAAAGAATATCAGCTGGGGTTGTAAATCAAACTCCAAGATTTTTTTTTTTAACCCTCACCCGAGGATATCTTTTTTCCCATTGCTTTTTCAGAGAGAGTGGAAGGGAGAGGGGAGGGAGGGAGAGGGAGAGAGAGAGAGAGAGAGGAAGAGAGAAACATCGACGTGAGAGAGATGTATAGATTGGCTGCCTCCCACACGGGCCTCAACTGGGGCCGGGGACAGGCCTGCGACTGAGGTACCAGCCCTTGGCCACAACTGAACCCGGGACCCTTCAGTCCACGGGCTGACTCTCTAATCACCAAGTCAAACCGGCCAGGGCAAGTTCCAAGACTTTTTAAAAAATTGTTATTTATTGATGAGAAAGAGAGAGAGAGAGAATGAGAAACACTGATTTGTTGTTCCAAGTACTTATGCAGTCATTGGTTGCTCCTTGTATGTGCCCTGACCAGAGATCAAGCCCACAAGCGTGGCATATCGGGACAACCCTCTAAGCAACTGAGCTACCTGGCCAGGGCTCAAGATCTAAGACGCTTAAGCAGATATGAAAATCCAAAGACTAACAACTAAGGACATAGTATAGTCACTAAAACTGGATAGAGGAGAGAAAGAGAGCATTTAGTCAGTTATTTCAGTATTGCTCATAGTATGAAAACAATGGATATTTTCTAAAGAATGTGAGGACTCAGGCATCATATAATAATGAGAAACATAAATTAAAATAAAATTGAAATATCATAGTTAACCCACAGAATTGGAAAAGATCACAAAGCTTGGTAACACTACATTGGTTATAGTGTGAAAGAGGCGTCTCATACATTGCTGGTAGTAACATAAATTGGTACAACTTCTATGCACAGAAAAAAGATTAAGCATTATTCTGCCTTTCTATATGGATGATTTTTCAGGGTAGCCAAATAGCCCTGATTGATGAGGAAAAGTAAGACACGATAATATTAGAAATATCGCTATTTTGTACACTTCAACCAAAACAATGGATGGAATTCTTAAGTAAAAGATTGGGAAACATTACAATGGAAACATCATGTGGTCACCAACTGAGCTCACTGATGAATCTCAGCATAAATAAGAGTGAAAGAACCAGAAACAATGCACTGAAGCATGGAGAAGTGAAAAGAAAGTGGGCCTGGGATTTGCTTCTAGATAATTCAGCAAAAATACCACCAACTCAGAGGGAATGGGGGAGTGGAGGATGGGAAGAGAACATCTGTAATACTTTCGACAATAAAGATAAAGAAATAAAAATACTAACAACTACAAAAACAACAAAAGTAATATATGAAAGTGTGGCAAAATGTTGATGACTGCTAAAACTGTAATGGGGTTGATTACACCATTATCTCTATTTTGTATATGTTTGAAATTTTACTTAATAAAAAAATATAAGGCATACATACCTGCTTTTTCAGAAAGGAATTAGCTTGCCATAATTTCATTTTGGATAGCAAATCAAAGGTAAATGGAAATTCACTGAAAATAACGGGACTGAAGTTTTCTGCAAATACCTAAGAAACAAACAAAGATAACAGTTTTGATAACAAAAAGAAGATAAAAATTTCATTCCTTTACCTCATTACCTTAAAGTATTTCCCTCTATACTTTCTGGAATCTGTTTTTAAGACTCCAAATTACTTAGAAACAAATTTCTAAGAAAATGCATTTGTTTCGTGAGTGAAAGATATTTAAGTTTTCAATGATGATCTAATTTAGCAAATTCAGCATTGCAGTAAGGATATTTTCAAATATTGATTTGTCAGTGTGATACCTTCATAGTTACTAATGTGTCCCCCTTTAAAGCATGAAAATAGTCAGAAGTGAAAATGTTACTCTTACCATGTTATCTCTATTGTAGATTCTTCTTGTTTCTTCAAAAAAGTTCAACATATGGGAGAGTTCATTTATGATGAAAGTAGTCTCTGGTACTTGACAGTTAGCTTTGTTTACCTTAAAGAGAATATGACCTGTGAATATCATTTTCTATTAATAAATGATTTAATCTATTATATGTATGTGGCTATTATATAATCAGGATAGAGCTCTATAAACCCAATGCATTTATCAATGATGAAGTAGATTTTTAAAGTCTATAATTTCTCTAATTTTCACAAATATTATAAAAGACATAAGATGTTGGCAGTGGAGATAGTAAAACAATTTTTAGGGCACAGGTTTACTGGAAATAGTTTCTAGATCTTGAGAATAAAAGCCCCATAAAAATCCAAGGAACTTTTGACAAATTCAGCCCTCTTTCCATTAATTAATGAGTATCAATTTAGTACACACTATTTGCCAGGTGTGTGACAAAACATGAGCTAACAATTGTCCTATCATATACATAGCTTACTGTCTAGTATAACAGTCAGCAAACCCTTTCTTAAATCCGGGTAGTAAATATTTTTGAGATTGGGACCATACAGTCTCTGGAGCAACTATTCAACCCTGACATTTTGTAGCACAAAATTGTCATAGACAATATGTAAACAAGTGAGTATGGATGTGTTTTAATAAGCTGCCCATGGGCATAAACTGCCAACCAGTAATCCGCAGTCTAGTAGGTAAAAACAACAAGCACCCAGGCATCTAGGATACAGTTTCTCATTGGAGGACTTAAGGGGTTCAAGAAGGCATCTCAGAGAAAAACATGCTGGCAAATCAGTAATCTAAATAAAGGCCCATCAAATCAAATGAATTCAAAAGATAGAAGACAGGAAATAAAGACTCTAAAAACATAAATTAAGAAGAGAAAAGCCAGATGTACAGGAGAGAGGATCAACAAATGAAATGGTTGATTCTTGGGTATTTGAAGCAGTGTGGGGGGGGGCACCACTCTGTAAAGTACATGATTTTTTAACCACTTTCATGTACATCTGAATCTAATACAGAATAATATTGAACATAACTGTAATTGAAAAAATAATAATAAATAAAAATTTAAATGTTGGTTCTTAAAAGGAACAAACAACAACAAAAACCCCAGCTTCCTGGTAAAACTGATCCAGGAAAAGAAAAAGGCAAGTAAACCAATATCAGAAATGAAAAGTACACATCACAGAGAGAAGTCCTTTTCGAAACATCTTAAGTCCTCATAAAGTTTCTCACTTTTTAATCCTTAATTATTTTATGCCAAACATTTCCCTTTTATACATTACTTTAAAAAATATTTGACTCCACATGATTCATATTTGTCTTCTTAAGACTCCAATTGGTCATTTACAACAGCATCAAAACCAATGAAATACTTAGGAATCAATTTAATCAAGCAGGTGAAAGATCTATACACTGAAAACTATAAGACTTTGATACAAGAAGTTGAAGTAAACACAAGGAAATGGAAAGATATCTTGTGTTCATGGGTTATAAAAACTAATATTGTTAAAATGTCCATACTACATAAAGTCATCTATAGATTTAATGCAATTCCTCTCAAAATTCCAATGGCATTTTTCACATAAGTAGAAAAAAACAATCCTAAAATTTGTTTGAAACCACAAAAGACCCTGAAGAGTCAAAGCAATCCCGAGAAAGAAGAACAAAGCTGGAGGTATCACACCTCCAACTATTCTACAAAGCTATAGTCATCAAAACTGTGTGGTACTGGCATAAAAAAAGACACATAGAACAATAGAAACGAAACGAGCCCAATAAATCCCTGCATATTTGACAAGGGAGCCAAGAATACTCAATAAGGAAAGGATAGTTTCTTCAATAAATGCATCTGGGACAACTGGATAACCACAGGCAGAAGAATAAAACTTGACCCCTATCTTACACCACTCAGAAGAATTAGCTCAAAACGGATTAAAGAATAAAACTGAACCCCTATCTAACACTACTCAGAAAAATTAGCTCAAAATGGATTAAAGACTTAAACATAAGACCTAAACCCATAAAACTCTTAGAAAAAAACACAGGGGAAAACTCCTTGACATTGATCTTGGAAATGATTTTTTGCATATGAGACCAAAAGCACAAGCAACAGAGGCAAATTAATGAACTACATCAAACTAAAAAGCCTCAGCAGAGCAAAATAGTCAACAAAATGAAAAGGCAACCTATGGAAGGGGAGAAAATATTTGCAAATCATATATCTGACAAGGGATTAATATCCAAAATATATACAGAACTCAAAAATGAGCAAAAAACAATCTGATTATAAAATGAGCATAGGAACTGAATAGATATTTCTATTCAGATGGCCAACAGGGAAATTCAAATCAAAACTACAAGGAGATATCACCTCACACCTGTTAGAATGGCTATCATCAAAATGATGAGATAACAAGTGTTGGTGAGGATGTGAAGAAAAGGGAACTCCTGTACACTGTTGGTGGGAATGTAAATTGGTGCAGCCACTAGGGAAACAGTACGGAGATTTCTCAAAAAATTAAAAAACAGAATTACCACATGGCCCAGTAATCTCACCTCTGGGTATATACCCAAGGGAAAATAAATCACTATCTCAGAGAGATATATGCACCACCATGTTTACTGCAGCCTTGTTTACAGTAGCCAAGACAGAGAAACAACCTAAGCATCCATGGATGGATGAACAGATAAAGAATATGTGGGACAAATGATGTATATATAGATTTATAAATCTATATATATAAATATTGAGCCATGAGAAAGAAAGAAAAATTCTTACATTTGCAACAACATGGACAGACTGTGAGGACATTATGGTAAGTGAGATAAGGCAGAGAGAGAAAGACAAATACTGTATGAATTCACTTATATATGGAAGCTAAAAAAATTGAATAGAAAGTAAAATGATGGTTGTCAGGGGCTTGGGGGTGAGGGAAATGGGGAGATGTTGGTCAAAGTGTGTAATTTTTCAGGTATAAAATGAATAAGTTCTGGGGATCTAATGTACAGCATGCTGATTATAGTCAACTACACTATACTATATCCTTGAAAGTTGCTAAGAGATCTTTTTTTAAAAAAATATATCTTTATTGATTTTAGAGATAATAAGGGAGAGGGAGAGAGAGAGATAGAAACATCAATGATGAGAGAGAGTCAATGATTGGCTGCCTCCTGCACACCTCTGCCAGGGAATTGAGCCCACAACCTTGGCATGTGCCCTGACCGGGAATCAAACCACGAGCTCCTGGATCCTAGGTCAACACTCAACCGCTCAGCCATGCTTGACTGGCAAGAGAGTAGATCTTAAGTGTTACCACCACAATAAAGAAATGGTGGAAGATTAAAGATGGTGGCGAACTGAGCGGAAGCTACACTGACACTCTACCAGGACCAAACTGGAATTATAACTAAAATATAGAAAACCCATTCTGAATAATCAACTGAAACTGAAGATGAGCTGGAACGCACCCTTGAAACCAAGGAAGAAAAGTGGAGACCACATAGAGACTTGTAGGAAGTGTGGAGGAGCGAGAGGGCTGGCTGGGTTCCTACAAGCAGCAGCCGAAGGTCCAGAGGGAAATCTCAGCTGTGGGGGTTTCCCACTGAGGGCTCTGGGGCCTAAACCCTAGGCTGGGCTTCCCAGCCAAGAGCACCAGAACTCAGAAAGGTGCCCACATAACATCTGGCTGTGAAAAGCAGCTGGGTATCTGTATGCCAGGGAGAGATGGCTGGAAATGCAGGCACCCTCTTAAAGGGTCAACACAAAAAGTTTTGTATGCAGCCAATCACCGTGGGCTCCAGCAGAGGGAGGGCAGAGTGACTGGAGCTGTGTGAGGAGAATCTAAGGTTGTGGGCTCTGGAGATAGAGCTCAGAGGGCACCCCTCTGGATTCCTGTGCAGAGTCATTCCCCCATACAGCAGAGGCAGACATTTACCTGCCAAGCAGCTTTTGCCTGAGGGAAAAGCAATTGCTCCACCCTGCTGGAAAACCTCTCACCCTACCCCACTGGAGTTTGTACTGCCTGAGGCTCATTAAGAGACTTAAAACAAGCCACCCCACCCTGTTGAGTTTCTATAGCCTAAGGCTTGTTAAGAGACTGACAACACTCAGCCACCACACCCTATGGAGTTTTTACAGCCTGAGGCTCATTAAGAATCAGATTAATCAGCCTGCAGCCAGAGGCAGACCTCAGAGTGCTTTGAGTCTTGGCCTGATCTGCTTCTGGACCTGGGCCTTGGAAAAGCAGACTTTGGTGTGCATTTTGGTCCTGTCAAAACACACCCAGCCCTAACAGAGGGAGCCTCAAGCCATGGGTTGTTGATAGCTCCAAACAGGGTACTCAAGGCCAGTCACAAATAGCACCTGATATTGGCCTTCACGAGAGACCTTCCAAAAGACTGAGAGTCCTAGCAGGCCTACCTAGCACATAGAAACAAACACTAACAGGCAGCCAAAATGGGGAGACATAAAACAAGGCACAAATGAAAGAATAAGAGAAGTCTCCAGAAAAAGAGCTAAATGAAATGGAGATAAGCAATATATCAGATATAGAGGTCAGAATACTGATTGTAAGGAAGCACAACAGCATGAAGAAAGATATGGAAACTATGAAGGAAATGAAGAATGACATAGCAGAAATAAAGAATACATTGGAAGGAATAAACAACAGATTAGAGGAAGCTGAGGATCAGGTCAGTGAATTAGAAGACAGGGTAGAAAAAAATCACTCAGTCAGAGATCCAAAAAGAAAAAACAATTAAAAAACAGGAGGACAGTCTAAGGGAGTTGTAGGACATCATGAAACACAACAATATTCACATCATAGGAGTGCCAGAGGAGGTCAAAAGTAAGCAAGGGTTAAAGAACCTGTTTGATGAAATAATGGCAGAAAACTTCCCTAACCTGGTGAAGGAAAAATTCACACAAGTTCAGGAGGCAGAGAAAGTCCCAAGCAAGAAGAATCCAAAGAGGCCCATGCCCAGACACATCATTATTAAAATGCCAAAAATTCAAGACAAAGAGACAATATTAAAGGCAGCAAGAGAAAAGCAATCTGTTACCTACAAAGGAGCTCCCATAAGGCTGTCAGCTGACTTCTTATCAGAAACTCTACAGGCCAGGAAGGAATGGCATGTAGTATTCAAGGTAATGCAAAACAAGGATTTGAAACCAAGACTATATCCAGAAATGCTGTCATTCAAAATAGATGGTGAAATAAAGAGCTTCCCAGACAAAAAAAAACAAAAGGAGTTTAACACTACCAAACCAGCATTGCAGGAAAGGTTAAAGGGACTGCTGTAATAATAATAAGAAATAGAGAGGGAAACACAGACATAAAGAATTAAAATGGCAATAAATAAGGACCTATCAGTGATAGCCTTAAAGACTTTAAGGGAGAGATCAACAGCAATACAGTCATAGTTGTGGACTTTAACACCCCACCAACTTCACTGGATAGGTCTTCCAGACAAAAACTCAACATAGAAACAGTGACTCTAAATGACACATTAGATCAGATGGATTTAATTGATAATTACAGAACATTTCATCGCAAAGCTGCAGAATAGACATTCCTCTCAAGTGCACATAGGTCATGCTCAAAGATAGACCACACATTAGGACACAAAACAAGTCTCTACAAGTTCAAGAAGACTGAAATCATAATAAGTATCTCAGATACCAAGGGCATGAAATTAGAAATCAACTACAGTAAAAACACTCAAAAACATTCGGACACATGGAGGCTAAATAAATAGAATGTTATTAAATAATGAATGGGTTACCAATAAGATCAAGAAAGAAATAAAAAAAATCCCTGGAAACAAAATAAACACACAACAACCCAAAATCTATGGGACACAGTGAAACCAGTCCTAAGAGGGAAGTTCATAGCACTACTGGCCTACCTCAAAAAAGTAAGAAAAATGTTCAGTAAACTATCTAACCCTACAACTTAATGAATTAGAAAGCTCCCCTGTGAAACCATCCAAGCCAGGGCTTTTGTTTGAGGGGAGTTTTTTTTATTACTGCTTCAATTTCATCAGTTGTTATTGGCCTATTCAGGTTTTCTGATTCTTCCTGATTCAGTTTTACATGATCTCACTTATATGTGGAATCTAATAAACAAAATAGACTGAGGAACAAAATAGTCTGAGAGACATAGAAGCATGGAAAAGACTGATGAATATCAGGGGAAGGTGGGGTTGGGGGAGTGGGTGGGGAGAGATTAATCAAAGAATTTATAAGCATATTTGCATAACCCATGGGCACAGACAATAGTGTGGTGAAGCCCTGGGGGGGATGGCAGATTGGGGTGAAGGGGACCCATGGGGGAGAAAAGGGGAGATATCTATAATATTTTCAACAATAAAGATAAATTAAAAAAAGAAAAAGAAATGGTAATTATGTGAAGTGATGGAGGTGTTAGCTACAGCTATGACGTTAATCATTTTGTAATACGTAAGTGTATCAAATCAACACACAGCACACCTTAAACTTAGACAATGTTATATGTCAATTATATATCAATAAAGCTAGAGAAAAGAAAGAAATATACTACTTTATTTTTTTAAATCCTCACCTGAGGATATTTTTTCCATTGCTTTTCAGAGAGTGTAGAAGGGAGTGAGAGAGACAGAGAAAGAGAGAAAGAGAGAGAGAGGGGAAGAAATATTGCATGTAGCCAGCAACTCAGGTACGTGTTCTTGGTCAGAATTGAACCCAGGACCCTTCAGTCCTCGGTCTGAAGCTCTAACCACTGAGCCAAACNACCATCCAAGCCAGGGCTTTTGTTTGAGGGGAGTTTTTTTTATTACTGCTTCAATTTCATCAGTTGTTATTGGCCTATTCAGGTTTTCTGATTCTTCCTGATTCAGTTTTACATGATCTCACTTATATGTGGAATCTAATAAACAAAATAGACTGAGGAACAAAATAGTCTGAGAGACATAGAAGCATGGAAAAGACTGATGAATATCAGGGGAAGGTGGGGTTGGGGGAGTGGGTGGGGAGAGATTAATCAAAGAATTTATAAGCATATTTGCATAACCCATGGGCACAGACAATAGTGTGGTGAAGCCCTGGGGGGGATGGCAGATTGGGGTGAAGGGGACCCATGGGGGAGAAAAGGGGAGATATCTATAATATTTTCAACAATAAAGATAAATTAAAAAAAGAAAAAGAAATGGTAATTATGTGAAGTGATGGAGGTGTTAGCTACAGCTATGACGTTAATCATTTTGTAATACGTAAGTGTATCAAATCAACACACAGCACACCTTAAACTTAGACAATGTTATATGTCAATTATATATCAATAAAGCTAGAGAAAAGAAAGAAATATACTACTTTATTTTTTTAAATCCTCACCTGAGGATATTTTTTCCATTGCTTTTCAGAGAGTGTAGAAGGGAGTGAGAGAGACAGAGAAAGAGAGAAAGAGAGAGAGAGGGGAAGAAATATTGCATGTAGCCAGCAACTCAGGTACGTGTTCTTGGTCAGAATTGAACCCAGGACCCTTCAGTCCTCGGTCTGAAGCTCTAACCACTGAGCCAAACCGGCCAGGGCAGAAATATACTACTTTAGAAATATCAGTACTACATTGGTACTTTTGAAAAGCACTAACTCTTGCATGTAGTATTTTAAAAGCATCTTATTTTAGCTAATTTTTTTTTTTAAATATGTCTTTATTGATTTCAGAGAGACGAAGGGAGAGGGAGAGAGAGAGATAGAAACATCAACGATGAGAGAATCATTAATCAGCTGCCTAGCCCGCAACCTGGGCATGTGCCCTGACAAGGAATCGAACACCGATCGCCTGGATCCTAGGTCGATGCTTAACCGCTGAGCCACGCCCAGCCGGGCTACCTAACTTTTTTAATCCTCATTAGAGAATATATATTTTCCATTGCTTTCATAAGGAAGAGAGAGAGTTTAAGGTGGAGAGAGAGAGTGGAAGGGGGAGGGGGAAGAAACATTGATGTGAAAGAGACATTGATTGGTTGCCTTCAGCATGTGCCCCGACTGGGGGCTGGGGGATCAAGCTTGCAAACAAGGTACATGCCCTTGGCCTGAATTGAACCTGGGACCCTTCATTTTGTGGGCCGACGCTCTAACCACTGAGCAAAATTGGCTAGGGCTGTTAATTGAACAAGGTATCAAGTTAATTCTCTTGTTTTATTTAAAATGCTTTGGCTCCTCCCTACCCCCTAACAATCCTTAAGTTTATTAGCCTCCTAACCTTAAGTTACTTCTAGATTATGCTGTATATTCTAATGAAAATGCTAAATCACTCTCATATATGAGTAGTGTTTGTGTATCTAATATCTAATATGTAATATATTCCTCCAGAGTCTCTCCAGTTAGCAAAACAAGCAAAATTTTGAATTTTTAAGGCTGAATAAAATATTTTCTTTCTGTTGAGAAAAACATCAAAACAAGACTCTGATTGGCTGAGACCTAAGAGATTTTGATTTAGTAAGATGGTATATACATTCCTTTAGATGAAACCTTACCTTATACACTTCTTTCATCATTTCTAGAAGGGCTTTAACATTGCAGTTATTTTGGTATGTTTCATTCCAGTATCTCAACTGAGCAACGATGGCTGATTTAAGCATCTGCACCAGTGTGTTGAGAGAAGATTCTTGTAAAGATGCCCAACACTGCTCTGAAGGGTTATAAAATCATCCATGATTAATATATACTCCTCTGCCACCCCCCACAAAACTCCCTCAGTTTCTACTGGGCTCCTTAATATAGACAATATTATAAAATGTCTATTTTATAAAATAGACAATATTTTCCATTTCTGATGGCATAACCCATAAAATATATTTTCTAAGGATAGCATTCTGGACAACATTTATTACTCACAGAAAAAATCTTTTCTCTGATTAAATATCATTGGAATTAAAAACTCAAAATCAGGATTCTGAAGAAACATGTTGATAGTTCATATTTATGCTTGATTACTTGTTTGTGTGATTTTCAAACTGAAAATTCTATAGGTTATTTATAAACCTATATGAAACCTATATGAAATATAGGTTTATAAATAGGTTTGTATCTGAAAACATACATAGGTGAACACACACACACACACACACACACAATGTCATCAAGGATATTTTCAATCTGTAAAAAATTATATTACCCATGTCTTCAGACTTTATGAACACCTGGTATATATGGACATATTTTAAAAATTATATTATTAACAACATTTTAATATTTCTGAGGTTATAATCTAGATTGTTGTATCTTTAAAAGACAATTCTCAGAAAACAAACCTATCAAATGTTGAAATCTATTATCAAGCTAATGTCATTAAAATAGTATAAACCAAATGCACGAAAAGCAGCTCAACATGGCAGAAATTCTACAAATGTATCCACATGCACATGAGATTTTTGTATATGATAAAGGTGGCACTGCATATTAGAGGGAATGAAACAGATCATTCAATAAGTGTCTGGGGACAAGTGGAAACTGATCCAGAAAAAAATAAAATTTAATCAAGATAAACTCCATATGGATCAAAGATTTAAACATAAAAATGAAACAAGAATACTTCTGGTAGGAGCATGGGAATTTTTTTGTTTCTTTGTTTGAGTGAGGTAGTCTTTTTGAAGTATGACCCAAACTCAGAAACCATAAAGGAAAATGTCAAATATAGTAGGCTTCATAAAAATGTTTAAAAATAATTATGCATGGCAAAAATATCACAAAGTAAAAACAGTTTTAAAAACCTAAAGAAAAAAAATTTGTAACTAATATTATTGAAAACATTAAGAAAACATTTGTAGCTCATATTGTTGATAAAGGATTAGCTGCCTTAGTAGCTTAAAATCTCCTAAATAGCCCGGCCAGGCGTGTCTCAGCAGTTGAGCGTCGACCTGGGATCCAGGCGATCGGGTTCGGTTCCCGGTCAGGGCACATGCCCGGGTTGCGGTCTCGATCAATGACTCTCTCATCATTGATGTTTCTCTCTCTCTCTCCCTCTCCTTTCCTCTCTCTGAAATCAATAAAGATATATTAAAAAAAAAACCCCCAAAAACAAAAAATCTCCTAAATAAAAAGAAAATACTGCCCAGCTGGGCGTGACTCAGCGGTTGAGCGTTGACCTAGGATCCGGGAGATCGAAGTTCTATTCAGGTCAGGGCACATGCCCAGGTTGCGGGCTCGATCCCCAGTTGGGGGCGTGCAGGAGGCAACTGATCAATGACTCTCTCATCACTGATGTTTCTGTCTCTCTCTCCCCCTCTCCCTTCCTTTCTCTGAAATCAATAAAGACATATTTAAAAAGAAAAAAAAAGAAAAATAGTAACAACAAATGGAAAAAAGGGGAAGAGGGGAAAACTGATAGTTTCCAGAATATGATATACAAATGAACTGAGATATAAGAAAATCAGCACAACCCCATTCATAATGAGAACATTAAAATTAAAAGGTTCTTTTTTTCAGAATGGGAAAGGCCAAAGTTTGAGAACACTGTAGAAAAATGCATGGGCTGATGCTCTCATAGTTGTTGATGAAGTGTAAACTGATACATCCTCTGTCCAGGCTGCCAGTTCGCCCAACTCCAGGGCTGCATTTTACTTACACTACAGTGTGGCTGGTGGCCACTTAAAGTTGGGCAACATGGTGGCCCAGACTTCTTTGGAGGGTCATTTGGCAAAATCTCTCAAAATTTAAAATGCATATACAATTTGACCCAGTAATTTTGCATTCTGGAATTTTCCCTGGCTGTGTAAATTTATATATGTACAAAGAAATGTCGGTTAGCACTGTTATAATAGCAAAAGTTTAGAAACAGCTATTCATAGTATAGTCTCCCAATAGAATACTATTCAGCCATTAAATAGAGTAAGGCAGTTCTATAGGTCCAATAACAGAATGCTCTCCATGATATGCTTTTAAATGGGAAAAAGCAAGTTGCCAAAGAATGTGAATGATTTGCTACCATTAAAAAATGCATTTCTATATGTTTATATGTATCTTTCAAAGGTTACACAAGAAACTATATTCTGTAACTGCTTTCTGAGAGGGAAACCTGGTGGCTTATATTTCACTGTATATATCCTTTGTACCTTTTAAGCTTTAGACCTTGAACACTAGCTTAAAATTGTAAAAGGACATCCTATCATAGTGAATGAAATAAACAGCAAGAACACAAAGCTTAACATTTCTTTTTCGTCACCTCTGGTTAAAATGTCTAAAGTTTTAAAACAACATTAGCAAAAAGTTATAAAGTGGATTTATCTTGACTGGATCCTCTATGGTTATTAAACTCTGATGTCAAAGCCATGTCCAAGTCTAAGAATTACAAATGCCTTGTGTGATAGCAGTAAAGATTATAATAGCTTTAGGTTTATCTTTTCAATAATTCACTTATCATGTACTCAAATATTTGTGTATTTTGAAATCTATCCAAAATTTACTACAACTTCTACTTCAGACGGTGACTCTCTATTGAGAGTTCAAATAAAGTAACATGAAAGTAATCAAACTTACTCAGGACTTGTAAAGATCGGTTACTCATTTTACAAACAGCCTGTGCAAACGGAACCACCAGACTTTCCCAGTTCCTAGAATCATGCATCACAGGACATTGTGGGAGCAGAAGGAAAACTGATAACGCTTCTCGGTGTGGAGAATGACATGGAAGAGCGCTGAGTAGATCATCCCTGAGACATGTAGTTATCTGCAGTTGAAAGAGGATCGGAGAAAGGCCCAGGATAAGTTTTGGGACCAGGGGTTTCACTCCACCACTTCCCAATTGGAATAACCATTTAGTTTTCCTAAAACCTGTTGTTCATCACTCCTTGCATCCCAAATGCCCCTGAAATAGTAAGAGCCATCCTCCCTATTTTATACTGGGGTGCATGAGGAAATAAAAGTGAAATCACATGTGCATGTATGTACTGAGTGACTCGTGGAAGCTGCTCAACTAGAAAGTGACAGAGCAGGGACCCATACCCAGATCTGTCTGACGGCAGAGAAAATGCCACATCTTCACCTCATCAATCCTGTTGCAGCTTCCTCCTGGGTTCACAGAGGGATGGCCTTTTCCAGCCTCCCCTGCACTTAGGTGGGGCCATGTGACTGAGTTCCAGCTAGTGCAATGTGAGTGAAGGCGATGTGTGATACTTCGAGGCATGGCCCCCCTGAATCCCCTCAAATGACCTGACATACTCTCCTTCCTAGTCTGCCAACCAAACACAAAAGATCTCCTGGAGGATTTAAGGGGCCCAGAGCCCAGAAGGAAGGAGCCTGCATCAGTCCTGAAGTCACCTGTGCAGAGGTGGGCAGGGCAGCAGGCTACGCCACCCCAAATATGCCACTCATTTTGAACTGATGGCAAGTACGGAAAAAAGACATAGAACAAGCTTTCTGGTTTCCCTCTATCTACCTGAAAACTGAATATAAAGTCCTTTTGTGAAGGTGTTCTCCTGTCCCCAACTCCCTGTACAGGAAGGGGATAAGAGCCTTATCAGCAGAGAGGAGCTGGCACTGAGAAAGAGTCCACACAAACAAACCTTGCTGACTAGCCCCTTTCTACCATTCGCTTCTCCATGTATTTGCCTTCCCACAATTCGGTGCCTCTAGAAGTTCAAAGTCCTTTCCCTTTGTCTTATCACTTCTCTACAAAGTTATTGTGCTTTACTAAGATGCTATATAAGCCCATGTTCTAACCACCCCTTCAAATTTCTCATCACTGAGTGTATATGAAAGATGCACACGTGAATAAACTTCTGCTTGTTTTTCACCTACTAATCTGTCATTTCTCAGTCTTATTTGTAGGGCCCCAGTCAGTGAAACTAAGATGGAGAGAGGGAAAAAGATTCCGCCCCCTACAGGTGCCTCTTATTTGAAACCCTCATGGGACTATGATGTGGGAAAGAAATCTTCATTGTGTTAAGCCACTGAAGTTTAGAAGTTGTTTGTGACGACAGCTAGTGTTATTTATTCTCTTTAGTAGATCTTAGATACTCTTTACTATAGTTCTGCCTCTATGTGGCATACGGGTTAAGAAAGATGATATATACAACAATAAACTGTAAAGTACTACATATTATTATTATTACATTAATGTCCTTAAAATTTGTTTTCTCAGATGTCCAGAACATGATTTCTGTGGAATGCTAGGAGGTGTATATGGCAAAATAATCACAAAGTCAAATACCTTTGAGAAAAATAAGGTAAAAAAACCGAGGTGTTTTTTTTTTGGTGTATGACAGAATCTTTGATTTGCTGATGTGCATAATAGTATGTAGTGTTTCCAAAGTTGTTTCACCAAGAACCCTTTCTTTCTTACGGAGCATTCTGTGTAACTAATGTTCTTTGGAACTTACGCTGGGAAAAGCACATCGAATCATCTCCCATCTCACCTAAATAAATTTACTTTTAAAATATACTTGATGACATATACTGTTCTTCTTCATCTTGAAAATAAAAATGTAGTGTCTAACTGCACATTAAGGAACACCCTCCCCCTTTCCCTTCCAAATGTAGGAACCTGAAATGGTATAAACGTGACTCTAAACTGAAGACTTCTGAGATACAGCGGATGCGGAAAGAAGCCTTCAGAGCTTCCCTCATCAGACTAAAGGCTTCCAAGACCCCTTCTCGGGTGGGTGGGGAAGCTTCAACTGCACTTGGATGAGAAACTGCATAAACAAACACTATCACAAGCTGTCACATCTTTCATTTGTCCCCCCAGAAACCCATTTGTCTGCCCTTGAACTCCATTTCTCCCCCATCTCTTTCCCTAGTACGTTGTGATATAAGCCCTCATCCCTAGCTGTTCATGGACTTTTCATTCGAATGCTTCCACATGCATGGGAATAAAACTTGTTTTCTGTGCTCCTGTTAATCTGTCTATTGTCAATTTGCAGGCCCCCAAACACATGAACCTAAATTGGTAGAGGGAAAGTTTTCTTTTCAACACAATCAAGAATTACAAAATATTAAATTGGAATAGACCTTAAAGATGAACTCAACTTATAGGTAAAGAAAATATCCCAAAGAGGATAAGGGATGTATCAGTAGCAGATTGTTCTAAACTAGAGTTAAGATTCATCTCAAAATAGAGATCAGCCGTTTTGGTCTCCCAGTCCAGGATTACCCTGCTTCTCAAACTAGTGCTTTTTTCATTCATGCTAGAGGTTATTTACCTCTCAAGCATTGGTTTTCTCATATTGAAAATAAAAATATTGTCAACTGTAGGAACCTGAAATGGTATAAAGGTGACTTTAAACTGAAGACTTCTGAGATACAGCTGATGCAGAAAGAAGCCTTCAGAGCTTCCCTCGTCTGACTAAAGGCTTCCAAGACCCCTCCTCGGGCGGGTGGGGAAGCTTCAACTGCGCTTGGATGAGAAACTGCATAAACAAACACATTTAAGCATTCAAAAAGAAAATAAAAGTCAGCACCTAATACAGTGTCTGGAATATAGCAACGACAAAATGAACACTAGCCCTGCCCCCTCACTCAGTTTCCAACAAAATTAACCTGCAATCATATTGGTTCTCATAGGGAAATTCTATTGCTCTATTTTTCAAGTAAATATTGACTATTACCATATAGGAAATCCATTCCTTTTTTGTTAACTTCTCGAAGGTATCTCTTGCCATCTGTAAGTCCACATCAATGGAATTCATTTCTCCAGATTCTCTTTGGAGACAAGAAATGCAATAAAACCCACATAAACAAATGGAAAGGAATATTTCTAAACTTCATATATCATTATTTATCTTAGTACATATCAGATATAAACTTTTTTCTTAAAGTTTGCCTCATTTCAAAATAATCCATTTCCTTGGCATAAAAAAAATATGAAATTTACATTTGGCTAAAAAAACATAGGTAACACTTTAGTGTCTCTACAGCAGCTACAAGTTTGGGCTGCAGTAACAGCAAAATTTTATATGCTGTGTCTGAGAACTGATAGCATTTCCCCCCTCTCAGGTTATCTTTTAATGGTTCTTAGTCACAGTACAGAATGAATGAACCTACAAGGAGGGGAAGAAATACAAGACCAAGTATTGAACATTTTGCAAAGGAGTTATTTTAACTACTGGGTCAGGACAAGTGTCAAACCATATAAGAGAAAAGTTAGATTTTCCTCTGTAGTAGTGAGACTAAAGATAAGACAAATAGTATCTGTTTTCCTTATTGATCCCACCACAATAAAACTGCCATGTACAGCCTTGGCCTCTAAGTACCAAAGCAATGCGATGGTACTCATAGAAACAAAGATCCAGAAAAACACACCATTCCTTCCAGTCAGAGAACAGAGGAGGGCAGGGTCAGGAAGTAAACACTGTGAATTAGGAATTACAACTTAATAGGGGTCTAATAGAAAATCACTTTACAAAATGGAAGAATTCTGTAACAGCCCATGGAGTTTTCTATGCTGGAGTTTTTGTTCATAAACAAAACTCACAAACTGAAATGACTGACTCAAAAGATTCCATTTAAAAAATTTCCCAGTGTTTTATATGAAAGTAAATCTCATGTAAATATTACCTTTTCTTTAAAAAACTTGCAGTCAGACAAGCAGAAGATGAAAATATCATGTTTATTTCACTGCAAAAACAAGAACATAAGGATTAAGTCCTAACATACTATAAAGCATGCCTACTTTTATCTCATGTCTGAATATATAATTGATGATGTGGAATCATTATTAATGAAAATAATGATTCTTCTAAGAGTCCTCCAAATGCTGGTTATGCGTTGTGCATGTGACTGCTGCATCTCACCAACAGCCTGCATAGTTGATTTGATCAGGTCATCTAGACTTACATAAAATCCATCCTTCTGAACACAAACTAGGAGCTCCAGAGAATAAACTATGAAGATATAAAAATCACTCCTGCATCTCATCCTCACCTAAGGGTGCCTGGGATATTGCATATCCTCAATACAGGGTGGGGAAAAAGTAGGTTTAGAGTTGTTTGTATGGAAAATAATACAATATTTAATAAGTAGTAATACAAGAATAAACTCTGTTTTGTGAGCTCACAACTATAAACCCACTGTCCCCCCACCCTGTATACCTCTGTTAAGTCGACAATGAATTAGTGAATAAGTGAATGACTTCTTCGAACTAAGAGCCCGCAGAAGAGAATCACGGCTAAAATACAAATGCCTTCACAACAAAGCCAAACCCTCTTTCTTATGACTAGGATAAAATGACCATGGCTTCAAAACCAAATAAAAGTGGTAGATAATTATCGGACAGAGCCACCTTTTAGCCACTTCACGTTCATTACTTCCACTTGTCACTGCCATCCATTGTTCTGTCCTGGACTGGTTGATTCGGCTGATTTCTGGCAAGGTTTTCTTGGAAACATTTGTGGAACTAGTATCCTTCAAAGAAGAAAACTAAAAGAATGATCAGGAAAATACACATACATGCTGAGTAACAGATAACCCAGGAAAGCTTGTGGCACAGGTGGTAGATAGGACCAGCCCTCTTAGGCAATGGGGTTTGGAGAGAGGAGCTGTGGCATCAGACTTGTCTGGTCCAGTTCCTAGCTTTGGCCACTTTGCTTGGTCTGAGCCTTAATTTAACACTTAAAAAATGGGATAACACAAAATATTAAAAACAGGAACTTAGATACCTGTAGGCCAATATTTATTGCAGCATTATTCACAATAGCCAAAAGATGTAAACAACCCATGTCTATCAACAGCATCAACAGATAAATGTTGTATATACATACAATGGAATATTATTCAGCCATGAAAAGGAAGGAAATTCTGATATATGCTATAGCATGGATGAACTTTGAAAACATTATGCTCAGTGAAATATGTCAGATACAAGAGGACAAATATTTTATGATTCCACTTATATTAAGTAGGAAAATTTATACACAAAAAGTGGATTAGGGGTTACCTGAAAATGGGGGTAAGGGGGAATGGAGAGTTAATATTTAATGCTTACAGATTTTCTGTTTGGGGTGATGAAAAAGTTTTGGAGATGGATAGTGGTGATAGTTGCATTCTACAACATTGTGAATGCAATTAATGCCACTGTATTTTTACTCAGAACTGGTTAAAATAGCGAACTTTGTTATATATATATATGCTACCACAATAAAGAGATAACAATACCCAATACCTACATCCCTGGGATCTTATTAAGATTAAATTTTATTAGGTATACAAAGCTTTGTATTATAGTAGGTACTCAATGAATACTAGTTTCTTTCTCCTCTTTAATAAGCCACAGATTTTTACTTTTATATCAACAGTTTTTAAACTTCAGTGGGCAACCTGGTGATCTTGTTAAAGCATAGATTGCTGGGCCCATCTCCACCATTTCTGATTCAATGGGTCAGGGGTGGAGCTCAAGAATATGCATCTGGTAAGTTCCCAGTTGATGCTGATGCTGCTGGTTTGGGGTCCACACTTTGAGAACCATGGTTCTATACAATACTTGAAACCTAATGGCTCAGCTAGAGGGGTTAGAAATCACTGTCTGGAAAGAAAAACCAGTCTTTAATATAGTCTTCCAAAGACATTAGTGCTCTGTTCCATACTATACCTTGGCCCCCACTGAACTTGTAATGAGTCAGGAAATTTTGCATCACTGTTGTTTAATGCTTAAATAAAGACCTCTTGAAAAAGATGTGTAACCATGACTCCTAAAGTTCCCTCCAGCTTTTTTATCTGAGTCCTGGGTATCCCCTGTAGTTCAGTCATGAAGAAGCTTTTTTTCCTTCCACAGCCCAGGAACCTGAGGACAATAAAGTGTTCCCTACTGGCACCTACTTACCATTCCTCCTACTTTCTACTTCAAAATTCTGACTCCTCTGAAGGGCGTGACATCAGACTGTATCATCGGCCTCCCCTTCTTCTACAATCATCTCCCAACGCTGTAGTCACTACCCTTCAATCACTGAAAACTCCGGCACCTTGCTGACTGTCTTCCTTAGCACCACCATGCCTGTCATAATTCTTCTTGTCATTCTTGGCAACTTCAGAATTAACACAATTTATTCCCCACCTTGATCTCTCAGTTCTTGATCTCATCTCCAATCTTTTCCTCTGCTCCACCTCAGCCACTCACGCCCTGGATCAGGGTTTCTAAACGGATGCTACTGACGTTTTGAGCCAGATAATGCTTTGTTGTGAGGAGCCGTTTTGTGCACTGTAGGATGCTCAGCAGCATCCCTGGCCTCTACGCACTGGATGGCAGCAGCAGCCACCCCCAGCATGCAGCTATGGCAATTACTCACTCTCAGGCATCATTACTTTCTCCATACGAGCTGGATCACTCTTACTGGCACACAAACATACCTTAATATTACCTCTCTAGACAATAACAAAACCCTCCCACAGTTCTCTACTTCCCTTCACAACACAAGTCAAGACTTTTCATAGTCATTGTTTCCTTCGGCTCCCCTCCTATTCTCTGTCCACCCCACTAAGTCAGGTTCATCCATTCTCCCCTGAGATGACTCAGTCTTAATGAACAGAGCAAAGACAAACTGTGCTCATCTTTCTTCACCTCTCAGCAGGATGTGACAGCGTTGGCCACTTCCTCTTTCTAGAAAGTTTCTTCTCTTGGCTTGATGGGCCACCCTCCCCTGACTTCCTCCTGCCTCAGAAACTGGCCCTTCTCAGGCTCTTCTTCTGGCTCCTCCTCACTGCCTGACCTTGACATGGAGAAGTCTTCAAGACTGGAGTTTGTCCCCCTTCTCTTCTCATTTTCACTTTCTCTCTAGGTGACCTTTCATCCAGGCCCCTGGCTTTAAACACCATCTAGAGTTTGATACCATGTTTACATTCTAGTGCTGACGTCCTCCCTGAGCTCCAGATTCAGAAGACCAACTAAGCTCTGGATCTCCTCTCCAAGGCCATTTCACGATGACCCCACCTCACACACCTGACCTCACTTACATTCCTGGCTCCATCTTAGAGGATTCTTCACCCTTTCCCCCCACGCTCTGTCTGACTGGCTTTCTTTCTGTTTCTCACACAGGTAATCGCATGTGTGTGCCAGGCTTTCTACCTGTGGTTCCTTCCACCTGAAATACTTTCTCTGGATCTAAGCTGCTCAAATGTCAGAGCCTCTCTGAGGCCTTCCCTGACTGGCATTTCTAAAGAAGCCCACCACAAACAACCCATTTTTGTCTTCTTCACAGCACTTGTCACTCTCTAACAAATCTTATTTATTTTGCATTTCCATGTTTATCATCTGTCCTTCCCTGTAGAGCCCAAACACCATGAATGAGGGCAACGTTATAAGATACAAACAATAGAATCCTTGTATTATCCACTTTCATCCCCAGCACCAAGAGCGGAGCCTGAGACACAGGGGGTGTTTGTTGGCCGACTGAATGGCTACGACAGAGCAGCCAAGTACCATCTCCTGACTATCCCCAGCAACACAGAGACCTTTGCCTCTCACCATTTTCTGTCCCAGGCGACACAGTAAGAGTCTATATGTCAAGTTTAGACACATTCCTGATACTAGAAAAGAGTACAAATTAGGAAAAAACCATATATGCTTTTGTCTTCACACAATGGAGGAAAAGAATGCCACCTAGAGTTGATATGAGCATTAAATGTGTTGATCCACTTGGGTACTCGGATTGGTGTGTAATGCATGAGGACTACAATTGACATTACTCACTACTGTTATCATTTTTAGAATTCTTACTTAGTAATAAATAGTGGGAAAGCAATGAATTTGGGGTCTCATCTGTTAGAAAGCCAATTGAGGAAGTAAGAATTATGTAATATCTTTGAAAAGCATTCTAAGAGAGGACCCTATTATTTTAGTAAGAAATCTGAATATATACAAATGATGCAATACTCCAAATACTGCTCTGAAGTCCAGAGGAAAAAGGGGATTTTTAAAACAAGCAACGCTAATAGATACCTGATGAGTTGTCACAAAGTTGGCATATGTTCCAGCAAAAATGTGTTTGACTCGAACATCCACAAGGTCTAAAAGAAAGTCATAAATCCATGCTTATTGTTTTTATAAGTAAAAAATAAATCTTTTTGTAAATCTAACACTAAAACATAGCATTTAAAAAATCTGATTATTACCAAGCTAAATTTACTTATTTATACGCAATTTATATTCTTCTAAATGGATTTGGACTACAAACAGCAGAAAAGATTACTTTTGAACAAGTTATACGTCATGTATTCACTTGGCTGAAAATTTAATTTCTCACACACTTGTGTCATGAAGTCAGGCTGATGTGCTTTAGAAGAGGTTTGAGTAAATACATAAAAGGGTATTGCTCTGATGCTTAAGTAACTGATTTGGGATCTTCTTTTGTGTTACCTTAATCTTTAGAAAAGGTTACCAAATACTCCAGGAATTAATGTACAAGAAAAAAATGCATATTGTACAAAAAAAAAAATAACAGTCCTAGATGAACCATAGTTCTGTGCACTCCTTTGAGAGGAAGCTGAATAATATTTCTCCTCCAGTGTCATCAATTAACAGAAAATCATGAGTTAGTGGGACCATTCATACCAGCATCAGAAATCAGGCAGCTAATGTCCAAGTCTTCTGTCTGGGCCTCTGGATGAGTTGCGTTGCTTGTGCAACTTGATCGATGACCAAAAGACACCACTTGACCAGTGGTGTAGACATATGCAAGGGTGTGATAACTGTAGGAGAGAGAATACATATAACGAAGACCAGGATACTCATGCTTTCTGAGAAAGACGATGTCTCTTATACACACACACAAAACAGATTTCTCTTACACGAAGTACACAGCTCCCTTATCACCATGTCAGGGTTAGAGGGCACCAAATGATGTGGCTGAACAAATGGTCAGTGAATATTAACTTACTACTAGCCTTAAACGGAGAATATTATTGGTAGATCTTTACTCTGGTTTTTATCATTTGTGTTTTAAATGCAAGTGTTTTATTTTATGAATTAGGTCGATGATACTCAAAGATTCCTCATAACTAGCTTATGCAAAACTCTGAATGTATATGCAAATATACATCATCTACACGCATGAGCATGAGATTACCAAGTACCACTATTTTTGCTCTAAACCCACTTCCTACTCCCCAGCACCTAGTTAGGTGGTTTATACACAGTAAACTTCCAACTAATTCCTATTAAATAAATGAAATACTTAGGATGAAAAAGAAAAAAAAATGGAAAAATTAAACGGTATTTGAAAAAAGTAAATTTCAGAAAAGAAAATGATCTACAAAAGGGATAGTCATATTTTAGAGTTTTAAGTTTTGATAACATTCCATATGAGTCTTTTCTTTTTTAAAAAAAAAAAAAGATTTTTAATTAAATTTTAGAGAGAAAGGGAGAGGGAGAAAGAGAAACATGGATGAAAGAGGGAAACACTGATTGGCTGCCTCCCACACACCACCTACCAAGGATCACACCACACCTACCTGGGATCGAGCCCAAAACCCAGGAATGTGCCCTGACCAGAAATCGAACCAGCAACCTTTTGGTGCACAGGATGATGCTCAACCAACTGAGCCAAACTGTCCGGGGCCATATGAGTCATTTCCAACTCATAAAATATAACAGTATATATATAATGTTTCTATTCATGCTAAAAAAAAAAGGAAAGAGAAAAGAAAGGGGGAAAAAAGCTTATTATTACCTTCCACAATCTATCTGGGAAACCAGGCCACCAATCCTTTCCACCTGTTGTGGACCACTCTTCTTAGCAGTGGGGCTGTGTCCCAGCTGTCCAAAGCTATTATCTCCAAATGTGAACACTTTCCCATTCTGTTCAAAAAAGGAGAAACCAAACTAATCTCAGGTTACAAAAAAAAGTAACTAAAAAGTTAGATTATGTATCTTAACAGTTATATGAGAGCACTATGTGAAATATAAGCTCTATATAAAGAGGAGAGGTCCTATATTTACTATTTCTAATAGTGAATATAGAGTTAACACATTAAACATAAAATATTATTGGTACTCCCTTAAAAATTAGGCACTTAATATATGTTTATAGAATGAGTGGATGGACAAATTAATTGGTTCAAAAATAACACTAACGTTTAAGTATAGGGTTCCTTTATTTATTTGTGCATTCTTCTCAAAATTATATCCTTTCAAAAGATGATTTTTTTTAAAATTTAGTTTTCAATTACAGTAGATACACAATATTATTTCAGGTGTACAACATAGTGATTAGACATTTACATACCTTACAAAGTGATCACCCCAGTAAGCCTACTACCCATCTGACACCATACATAGTTATTACAATATTATAGACTATATTCCCTATGCTGTACTTTACATCCCTATGACTATTTTTAGAACTGGCAATTATAACTAATTTTATAACTTCTTAATCCCTTCACCTTTTTTACCCAGTCCCCCAACTCCCATCCCCTCTAGCAACCATCAATTTGTTTTCTGTATCTATGAGTTGGTTTCTGCTTTGTTAGCTTATTTTGATTTTTAGATTCCACATATAAATGAAATCACATGGTATTTATCTTTCTCTGTCTGACTTATTTCACTTAACATAATACCCACTAGGTCCATCCATGTCTTTGCAAATGATAAGAGTTCACTCTTTTTTATGACCGAGTAATATTCCATTGCATATGTGTACCACATCTTCTTTATCCAGTCATCTATCAATGGGCACTTGGGTTGCTTCCATATCTTGGCTATTGTAAATAATGCTGCAATGAAGATAGGGTGCCTATATCTTTTCAAATTAGTGTTTTGTATTTCTTTGAATAAATAACTAGAAGTAGGATTGCTGGGTCACATGATAGTTCTATTTTTAATTTTTCGAGGAACCTCCACACTCTTTTCCACAGTGGCTGCACCAATTTACAATCCCATCAACAGTGCACAAGGGTTCCCTTTTCTCCACATTCTCACCAACACTTGTTTGTTGATTTATTGATGATAGCCATTCAAAGGTAATATCACATTGTGGTTTTGAGTTTCCCTGATGATTAGTGATGTTGAGCATCTTTTCATAGGTTTATTGGCAATCTGTATTTCCTCTTTGGAGAAATATCTATTCAGGTCCTCTGCCCATTAATCAGATTGTTTGTTTTCTTGGTATTAAGTTGTATGACTTCATTATGTATTTTGGCTACTAGCCCCTTATCTTTGGCAAATACCTTCACTCATTCAGTAGGTTGTCTTTTCATTTTGTTGTGTTTTTTTTTTTTTTGCTATGCAAAACCTTTTTAGTTTGATATAGTCCCATTTGTTTATTTTTTTTTTTTCGCCTTGTCTGAGGAGACATATCCAAAAAAATATTGCTAAGAGCTATGTCAAAGAGTTTACTGTCAGCCCCAATCAGAGCTGCTGCTGAGGACTCAGCAACCTCCTCCTTCAGTCCCCCTTGTTTCCCAATGCTCTGCTGCCCCTGCCCCCCACTTTCTCCCAAAGTAGCCTTCAGGCCTTTTCTCTGGAGGAAAAGGAATCCTATCATATGTCCACTATCCAGAACCTCAACTCTTTCAACCCCTTTGCTGATGCAAGTAAGGTTCATGATCTGCTTCCTGCTGGCACTGAGGATTATGTCCATGTAAGAATTCAACAGAGAAATGGCAGGAAGACCCTTACTACTCTCCAAGGAATCACTGATGAAGATGATAAAAAGAAACTAGTGAAGGAATGTAAGAAGAAATTTGCCTGCAATGGCACTGTAATTGAGCATCTAGACTATGGATAAGTAATTCAGCTACAGCGACCAGTGCAAGAACATATGCCAATTCCTTGTAGAGACTGGACTGGCTAAGGGCAACCAACGGAAGGTTCTTGGGTTTTAAGTGCTTTTGGCTCACTAAAGCTTATGTGAGAATTTCCTTGCAATGAGCAGAATTTCCCTTCTATGCCTTGTCACAAGTTTAAAATGTTTTTTATTGATTTGAGAGAGAAAGAAAGAGGAGGGTGAGGGAAAGGGACAGACAGACATCGATTTGTTGTTCCACTTATTTATGCATTCATTGGTTGATTCTTGTATGTGCTCTGACCAGGGATCGAACCTGAAACCTTGGTGCATCAGGGTGATGCTCTACCCAACTGAGCTACCTGGCCAGGGCCCCTCGTCACAAGTTTAAAAAACGCACAGCTTGTATAATGTAACCAACTGGGGTCTGCTTTTAACTTGGACTAGTGTAACTCCTTCATGCAATAAATTGAAAAGAGAAAAGAAAAAAAAAAAAGTTTCTCGTCTGTATTCTTCTAGTAATTTTGTGGTTTCAGGTCTTACATTTAAATCTTTAATCCATTTTGTGTTTATTTTTGTATATAGTGTAAGAAAATGTTCTTGTTTTATTTTTTTGCATGTATCTGCCCAGTTTCCCCACCACCATTTATTGAAGAGACTATCTTTACCCCATCGTACATTCTTGCCTCCTTTGTCATAGATTAACTGACTATATAGGTGTGGGTTTATTTCTGGGCTTTCTATTCTGTTCCATTGATCTATGCGTCTGCTTTTATGCCAGTACCATGCTGTTTTGATTACTATAGCCTTGTAGTATAGTTTGATATCAGGTAGAGTGATACCTCCAACTTTCTTCTTCTTTCTCAAGACTGTTTTGGCTATTTGAAGTCATTTGCAGTACTATATATACTTTAGGGTTATTTGATCTAGTTCTGTAAAAAATATCATTGGTATTTTGATAGGGATTGCATTGAATCTGTAGATAGCCTTGCATAGTATGGAAATTTTAACGATGTTAATTCTTCATCTCCATTAGCATGATATATCCTTCCATTTATTTGTATCTTCTTCAATGTCTTATAGTTTTCAGAGTACAGGTCTTTCACCTCTTTGGTTAAAGTTATTCCTAGGGATTTTTTGGTTCAGCTGTAAATGCAATTGTTCTCTTAATTTCTCTTTCTTATATAGTTCAATATTGGTGTATAAAAATGCAACCAATTTCTGAATATTAATTTTGTGTCCTGCTACTTCACTGAACTCATTTAAGTTCTAATAGTTTTTGGGAGGCATCTTTAGGGTTCTCTCTATATAGTATCATATCATCTGCAAATAATGACAGTTTTACTTCTTCTTTTCCAATGTGGATACATTTTATTTATTTTTCTTGTTTTACTTCTGTGGCAAGGACTTCTAGTACTATGTTGAACATAGTACTGGGTGGTAACAGCAGACATCCCTGTCTTGTTCCTGATCTTAATAAAAAAGTTTTCAACTTTTCACCATTGAGTATGTTAGCTGTGGGTTTGTCATATACTGTCTTTATTATGTTGACATATGTTCCCTCTATCCCCACTCTGAGGAGAGTTTTTATCATAAATGGATACTGGATTTTTTTCAAATGCTTTTTCTACATCTATTGATATGATCCTATGATTTTTATACTTCATTTTGTTTATGTGGTATATTGCATTAATTGATTTGTGGATATTGAACCGACCTTCCATCCCAGGAATAAATCCCACTTGATCATAGGGTATGACCTTTTTAATGTATTGCTGAATTTGGTTTGCTAATATTTTGATGAGGATTTTGCATCTATATTCATCTATATTCATATGATGACCTATATTTTTCTTTCTTTGTAGTATCTTTGTCAGTTTTGGTATCAGGGTAATACTGAACTTCCCTCCTCTTCAAATTTTTGGAATAGTTTTAGTATAAGTATTAATTCTTTCAACATTTGGTACAATTCACCTGTGAAACCATCTGATCCAGGACTTTTGTTTGTTAGGAGCTTTTTTTATTAATGATTCGATTTCGTTAGTTATTATTGGTCTGTTCAGATTTTCTGTTCTTCCTGAATCAGTCCTGGAAGACTGTATGGTTCTAGGAATTTATCCATTTCTTCCAGGTTGCCCAATTTGTTGGCATATAATTGTTCATAGTATTTTCTTATAATCCTTTGTATTTCTGTGGTGTCATTTGTCACTTCTCTTTCATTTCTGATTTTATTTATTTGAACCCTTTCTCTTTTTTTCTTAATGAGTCCGGTTTATCAATTTTATCTTTTTTCTCTTTTACCTTTCAAAGAACAAGCTCTTGGTTTCATTGATCTTTTCTATTGTTTGTTTGTTTGTTTTTAGTATCTATTTCATTTATTTCTGCTCTTACTCTAATTATTTCCTTCCTTCTACTCACTCTGGGCTTCGTTCTTCTTCTTCTAATTCCTTTAGGTGTAAGGTTAGATTGTTTGAGATTTTTCTTGTTTCTTGAAACAGGTCTGTATTGTTATGAATTTCCCTCTTAGAACTGCTTTGACCATGTCCCATACATTTTGGCTCACTGTGTATTCCTTCTTTTAGATGATTCTTGATTAAAACAACTCTAGCTTTCTCTTGTTAACTAAGAATGATATAATCCAAACATGCTTTTCAAACAAATAGTAAAGATTATTTTAGATATTTAGTCTTTAAATAAACATTTCAACCACACAGTTTTCAAGTCTACAACTTATTGCTATGGAAAAAAAATCCGTTACAATGGAATATATTATATGGCCAATACAAAAAGGGGAGGAAAATATTCAGGAAGTCAGCTCATATCTGTACCAAGCAAGAAGTGGAACAAAGTATGTTCTAGTCTGTAATGTGGGTTATTGAAAACTGTAAAAATTACTTTGTGCCTCTAAAATAATTTTTATCTGGAGAACCACATTATGAATAATTACTAAAAGGATTATCCCCCATTAATCTAATTTAGTAGGTACCTAAAAATATATCCTAGCCTGGCTGGGTGTGGCTCAGCTGTTGAGCATCGACCTAGGATCCAGGAGATCAGGGTTTGATTCCCGGTCAGGGTACAAGCCCGGGTTGAGGGCTCGATCCCCAGTCTGGGGTGTGCAGGAGGCAGCCGACCAATGACTCTCTCATCATTTATGTTTCTATCTCTCTCTCCTTCTCCTTTCCTCTCTCTGAAATCAATAAAGATATACTTAAAAAAATAAATATATCCTAAAGCTAAAATTACCTTTTGTTATAGGATCTTGAAAATTTCATGGTTTATACTGGGTTACTTCTCCTCTTAAAAGTTTGTACACTGAACAGATATGTCGATATATTGATCCACATCTTGCTTTCAACAGTAATCAGTAACTGCACCTTGTGGTAACATTTGCCTGGGATTTTGAAACACAGCAAGACATTTTGGATTACCTGGGTAAGCACTGCAGTGTGTTCATAACCACAGCTGATATAAATCACATCTAGAATCTTCAGCTCACCAACTGAACGAGGCTTGTGGCTTTCCACTGTTGAAAGAAAGCAGAATTTCTAGAGTATAAGAGGCGGACTCAGATATCAAGAATTTTTATATTTTTATAGTTTTTAATACTTTTATTATCTTATAATTCATTAACATAATTTTTAGAAGTGAATAAATAATCAGTGTTATTATAAAACAAAGGGAAAGCCTTGCTTTGGAAAAGCAAAGCAAAGCAGTGTATTAGCACTTATTTCTGGAAACTATTTAATCTTCTGGAATGCCTGATTTATTGCCCTGGAAAGCTAAGCTTTAAGAACTTAATCCTAATCATAGTGTCATCATGTTGTATTCATTTCTGTCACACAGTAGGTATTCTGCAAATACGTAATAATAACAGAGAAAATAAAAGAACCTACTTCATGCTGACAGTGTTAAATGAAATTAGACGTGCTCAGCATAGTACTAGCACTAAACAGGTGCTAAAGATATGTTAGCTGAATGTAAAAAATTGAACAGAGGAGGACAGGGTCCATGTGGAAGACTTCACGGTGAGTTTTGTTTAAAGATTGCCAAAGGAACTGGTTGCTTCCACTACTAACAGGCTTCTAATCCAGTGGTTCCTAAACTTTGCTGCACATAGAAGCACCTGTGGGATCTCTGTTAATGACTGATGTCTGGCTTCCATCCCCAGACATTCCGATTTAATTGATATAGGGTCCAACCTGGACATTGGGATTTAAAAAAAATATATTGTATCTTTTTTTATTTCAGAGAAAGGAAGGGAGAGAGGGGGAGAGAGAGATAGAAACATCAATGATGAGAGAGTCATCATTGATCCACTGCCTCCTGCACGCCCCCGACTAGGGATTGAGGCCGCAACCCGGGCATGTGCCCTGACCAGGAATCGGATAGCAACCTCCTGGATCCTAGGTTGATGCGCAACCACTGAGCCACGCGCGGCGAGGCTGGGCATTGGGATTTTTAAATGCTCTTGTGATAGACAAAATAATGGCCTCCTAAAGATGTCCATGTCCTTTTCCCAGAGCTTGCGAACATGTTAGGGTACCTGTCAGAGGGGAGTTAAGAAAACAGATGGAATTAAAGTTGCTAATCAGTTTACCTTAAGACAGGGAGATCATAAGAGTCCTTTAACTGAAGGAATGGGAGGTAGAAAAATCAAAGTCAGAGTAATGTGACTTGAGAAAGACTTAACCAGCCATTACCAGTTCTGAAGAAGAAAGGCGCAATGAGTAAAGGAATGTAGGTGGTTTCTAGAAGCTGGAAAAGGCAAGAAAATGGCTATAGCCCTAGAGCCTTCAGAAAGGAACACAGCCCTGCTGACACCTTGATTTTAGCCCAGTGAGACCCACATCAGACTTTAGACCACCAGAACAGTAAGATAACAAATCTGTGTTTTTTTAAGCCACTAAGTTTGTGATAATTTGTTACAGCAACCATAAAAAATTAATATAGTCCCCAGGTTATTCTGATGTGCCATAAAGTTTGGGAACCATTGTTCTAACCTCTGAGATTGCCCTTTGCAGAGTTGGTCTTCCAACTGGAAAGAAATAATAATTTACTGCAAGAACAAGACTATCTCCTTACCGGGGACATTTTTCCCACTGAGGGCCAGCTGTCCTGCATTGTTGTTTCCCCAGCCAAATGAAGTCCCAGTGAGAGACAGGGCAAAGCTGTGGGCTCCTCCTGCAGCCACCTGAGCCAGGGGGATCCCGTCCAGGGACCTCACCCTCTGTGGACTGGCTTGGGAGGGGACATCCTTCCCCAGGCCCAGCTGACCTTGGCTGTTCTTTCCCCATGAAAACACTTGGCCATCTACAAAAATAAAGAAGAGAAATTCAGAATTGTACACACATTGGAATACCAAATTCAAGTAGAAACTACCACCTTAATTCTAAAAATCTTTGAAGAATAAAACAGGTATAAAGGAGGGTCAAGTATTCTGATTAAAGGAAAGGGGGATGGTCAAGATCGTCTTCAAAAGTCCCTTCCAACAACATCCACTCCTCTTCTCCTTCCAAGTAAAGAAAAACTGTGTTCTTTCAAGTGCTCAGGCCAAAAACCTTGGAGTCATCCTTGACTCCTTTCTTCCTTTTACATCCTCCAATCCAGTAGATCCTAAAGTCTCTACCTTCAGAGTTTATACAGACTCCAACTACTTCTCACCTCCCCAATTGTTAGCATTATTAGCGGCCAAGCGGCCATCATTTCTGCCCTGGAAAATTACAACAGCACCTTGCTGGACTCCCAGATTCTACCTTTGCCCCCAGCAAGGTGTTCTCCAAAGAGCAGCCAGAGTGACCTTTTAAAAATATAAGTCAGATAGAACCCTTCAGGAGCTTTCTATCTCACTCAATAATAGACTCACAAGCCCCAGGTCCCCCGTACTTCCCATGACTGCTTCTCAGACCTCATCTGCCCCTTGCTCATGCCTCTCCAGATGCCCTGCTGTTGCTGAGCACACCCTTGGGCATGCCCCCTACCTCATCACCTTTGCTTCTGGATCTTTCTTCTGGATCATGGTCTTAGCATCATGTCTCTTTCCTTCCCTTCCTTTTGGTCTCTGCTCATATGTCACCTGATAAGAGATAGTTTCCCTGACCTCCTTTATAAATAGAAAGACCCCTTTCCTTCGCCCAAGTACTTGCTTTCTGTCCCTTACTCTGACTCACTTTTCTTCACACCCCTTATCCCTATCTGTTATATTACATAACAATTTGTCTCTGTGTTTAAGGTTCTCTTCGCCTTCTTCCCTTCAGAATATATGCTCCATGAAAGCAGGGCCTTAGGTTTGTTCACTGCCATATTCTCTTTGCTGGAAACATTGCAGGCACTTGATAAATACTGTAAAATCATTCCATGCGGGGACAAAAACCAACATTTTATGTTGAATTTGACCAGCAATGGATAATTAATATCAGGTCAAAAATAAAGTTGCTCTAATGCTTAATTAGTTGCCCAGAGAAATGCCAACACATCTCAGATTTTTATGTTATTATATCTAATTTTTATTTTGAACTCTTCTAAGTTATTTCTATCACTGAAAAGAATTTTTGAGAGCACACTGCAAATGTTAAACTCTCATGAAGATGTATGAAAACTCATAGTTCACCATAGCAAATGCGTTGAGTGCTGGGTTCTACACAGTTTTTACATTCGAGACCAATGTAAAGACAAATCAGTACCTAAGGAAATAATTCAAATCATTTCAGTCATTAAAAAGGACCATTTGCGCTCAGCTGGTGTGGTTCAGTGGTTGAGCGTCAACCCACAAACCAAGAGGTCACTGGTCTGATTCCCAGTCAGGGCACATGCCCAGATTGGGGGCTCAATCCCCAGAAGAAGGCAGCTGATCGATGTTTCTCTCTCATCAAAGTTTCTATCTCTCTACCCCTCTTCCCTCCTCTCTCTCTAAAATAAATAAAAACACATTTAAAATAAAATTTAAAAAAGAAGGACCATTTGAAACAATACTGATGCACTTTGAGGACATTGTGCTAAGTGAAATAAGTCAGACAAAGACAAATACTGTATGATCTCACTTATATGTGCAATTTTTTTTTAAAAAAAAACCCCACTCACAGATACTAAGAACAGATTGGTGGTTGCAGAAGGTTGGGGATAAAATGGGTGAAGGGAGTCAAAAGATACAAACTTCTAGTTATAAAATAAATAAGTCATGGAAATGTCATGTACAGCATAGTGACTAGAGTTAATAATACTGTACTGCATACTTGCAAGTTGTTAAGAGACTAAATCTTAAAAGTTCTCATTATAAGAAAAAAAATTCTGTAGCTATGTATGGTGATGGATGTTAACTAGACTTGTGGTGATTATTTCACAGTGTATACAAATATTAAATCATTATGTTGCACACCTCACACTAAATAATGTATGTCAATTATACCTCAATAAAAATGTACATGTTCTAATTTTAAAACAGAAGAACAAAAGAAAGGAAGGAAAATACACTGTTTATTGTACCCTATCTGCTACAGACTGTAGAGGATAAATTGTGTACCTTCTCTCACTGAATCTCCTAAACAACCTTTAAATTAGGCATCAATATTCCTACAGATGAGAAAATTGACACTCAGCAAAGTAAAACTTGTCTTAGATCAAATAGCTAGAAGAGGTAGATAGAAGGAATCATACTATAGCCATGTAACTGTCTTGGTTAAACAGCCTACATGGTACAGTCACTAAGAACTTAGGGTTGGATGTATACAAGTATAGGTCCAAATCCCACCTCTTCTATTAGTGTGTGAGCCCAAATATCCTCATTTCTGAAATGAGGATGCAGATAATATCTAGCTTCTGTGTTTGTTTTAAAATTTTTTATTGATCTTAGAGGAAGGGAGGGAGAGAGAGGAAGAGAGAGATTGAGGTGAGAGAGAAACATCGATGTGCCCTGACTGGGAATCTACCTTCCACTTTCTGGTGTACTGGACGATGCTCCAGCCAACTGAGCCACATCTGCCAAGGCCCTAGCTTCTGTGTTTTAGGCGATTACCTGAGACAGCACACAGAAAGCACTTAACAGTAGGGGGCACATAGAAGGCAACCAAGAAATGTCGGCTCTCCATGGCATCTGTGGCACAACTGCAGTTATGCATAAGAAACCACCTGGGGGACACACAAATCCTACATATCTCTCGCAGGGGATCAGAACATGCCACTTTGGGATAAAGATTATTTTGAGCTGAAGGCAATTGAGGATTAATAGATGCACAAAGAGTTCTCTGCCTTCCTTTTACCCACCCAAAAGCAAGGCATACATTTCCTTTTGTGAAGGCATCCTCTCCTGTACCAGGAATGGGAGAGGGACCATCACCAGAGATGGAGAGTCAGCACTGACGTGAGGGAGCATAAACAACCCTTAGTAAAATAACCCTCATCTTCCCTTAATTTCCCCCACCTATTTCCAAGTCACTTTCCCACAGTTTCTCTCTTCTAGCCCAAACTTCCTTTCCTTTGTTAAAATGGTATATAATCCCAGAATCTAACCACTTCTTGAGTTTCTCTTCTTTTCTGTAAATTCCCATGCACGGAAATATCAATAAAAAGTATGTGCCTTTTCTCTTAGTAATCTGTCTTATATTTGTAGCCCCCCAGGTACTGAACCTAAGATGGTAAAGGAAAAGTTTTTCCTCCCTGACACTCTCACTGAGAAATGGGTAAAGGATTGAGGATGTTGGTAGAAAAAATGTAGAGGGCCCAGAATTTGGAGACTGCCTCCTCTGGGACCGCATGCGTTAATAAAGGTCTCCTTTTGCCTCAAAAAAAAAAAAAATGTAGAGTCACGATTTTGACATCTTGACTTTTCTTTCTTTGATCTAGGTACAAAAGATAACTAGGCTTTTGTCTATATGAGTTTGCCAGTGTAGGCAAGCAATTCAGCATAAGGCGCAAAGTACTGGAAATAAAACCAATACTGAGTTCTGAAAGAGCCAGCCAATCAGGTCATGCATGCAGAGATGGTCTTTATGGCAGTGAAATATAAATTAGGCAATACTTACTTAAAGTATAAGAAGAGCAAAGAATATTGAAAAAAATACGAAGAACAAAACATCTTTTGAAATCTGGAGAGTTAAAAACTTCTAAATGCATTAAAATGAACCCCAAAGCATTAAAAATCAACAAGTATCACTTGAATTAAAGAAAATTACTTTTTAAGGACACTTAGGAGATCAAAAAAAAGCCTTTTTTACCTTCTGATAATGCCAGGGAATGGTAGTCTCCACAGGAAACTTGTATTATTCTTACACCATTCAGAGTTTTTATCTTCCTATAATAAAAATGATACGTAAAAAAAAAGATACAAAACCTATTAATTGTTCTTCAGAGTGGATCACCTAGTAAACTACAGATATCTAAAACATCCCAGGTATCATGTTTGGTCTAGGAAGACAATTTTATGCCCTTGTATTTCTGTAGAATCTTTTTTCCAAAGCTCTGAACTGTTTTAACATGCCATCAACATGTACAAAGGTACAGGGCAGAATCCAAAACAGTACGTAATGTAAAAGTGATTTTTACTGGACCTTTAATGTATTATTTAATGCACTAACTTTTATTCTATACTTATTGGTCTAAAAGAAAAATAAATTTCTTCATACACATGTAGCACAGGGCTTTAAAATTTATAGAACACTGTCACCTACATCACCTAATTTAAGCCCCGTGAGACAAACCATTGGGTTGAATTGCCATTTTTGTGGATCAAAACACAACTATCAGCAATTTCACACAGTTGAAACTAGTGGAACTCAAAGAAGTCATATATGTTTCAAGTTGTAGAATTAGACTCAAACCTTGATCTTTCCATTCCAAGTTCAATGGTCATTCCTCCAAGCCACAGCTATTTCTCACATGATTTAATGCCCATGGGAGGCAACATGGTAACTTCCTAGTATTAAAGAGCATGCTTTTGAACATTTCCAAAGTGTGTATAATTCATGAACACAAAATTCAGATTGCTTATCATATCATTTGTCCTAGAAAGCTGTTTGTGAGGATATGATTTTCCCCCCTACATTTTACTAAGTAAAATATTAGGACCCAGTGGCTGATAACAAAAAGTTTATGCTGGGAGAGGAACTTTTCTTTCTCCAATTTGGGTGCAGTGATTGGGGAACTGCAATTAATTGAGAATAAACAGATTAATTGGAGAAAAGACATGGTTTATTTATTTGTACACATGGGAGCTCCCAGTAATAGAAACTGGAATAGCCTGAGTGAAGGTTTATAATATTAACATAATGAAAGCGGGGGTTGGGGGGGTTAGAACTTCGATGGGAGAGTATGGATGTTTCTATTGTTGCTTTGTGTGTGTGTGTGTTTGATGCTGACTGGGCAGTCTGTCTTCACAGCAGCTGAATTCACAGGAAACTCCTTGCCAGAAGGGTTAACGAGAGCTGAATTTTAGGAGGCACTGCTTTAGTCAGATAGGGAAATTCAGATAAGACTGCTTTTCTGCATCTTCAGTAGCTCAAATGTTTTTACTTTAAAATAATATTTATGCCAACTTGGGGGAGGGGGGTGGTGTCCAAGTGGTATAGTCATTCCCAATAGATTAGATTAAGACCGGAGTGTCACATGTTCGAATTTCACCGAGCCCTTCCTCATAGGCTGCTATATAATCACTGGTGTTACAAGTTTTTCTCTGCCTCCTTCCCGCAGCACACTGTAATGGCTGAGGTTAGAGACTGTTTGTTCCCATAGTCATCTTTGTACGCTGGCACCTTGCACGGTACCTGGCAGGTGTGACCAGAAAATATTTAATGAATGAATGAATGAGTGAACTGAAACACTTACTTAGGAGTAAAAATTATTTCCTTGAATTCCTCAATCCCCAGCTGGCCTTCAGAATCAGCTCCCCATGCAAACACCCTTCCTTTGGGACAAACAGCCAGGGAGTGCTCCTTTCCACAGCTCACAAAACTGACGCGTAGAGTTTCCAAAGCCTTAATTTGTTCTTTTGGAACAAAAACAAAGCAAAACAAAAACCCAGAGATTATTAATTTAACAGAAAGTTCAAGATAGTACTTTCCTTCAAAAAGAAGGGTCATTTGGATTGCTTGTCTCTTGCAAAAGGCTTTTAAATTAAGGCCTAACATCCATGCTAAAGGTGTGAAGGAAATAGCTCAGCAGGTCTTTATGTTAATATAACTGGTATTCAAAAGGGCGGGAATCGTGGAAGAGGGGAACCTGTAGGAACTGTGACACTTGAGCTAATGTTTTTTCTACGACGGTGATAGCAAACCCCAGCAAAATAAAGGGAGCTGGAGAGGAGGTGGGATTGCCTCCACTCTATTCTTTCGGATCCTCAACCCTGAATAGGGAGAAGAGAGAATTAATCCCTTGCTCAGGAGGAAACAAGCAGGGCGCCTGTCTCATGAGCATGAGAGGCAGACTCCAGGTCTTCTCACAATAGAGTGCGGTAATGTGCCTCTAAGTGGGCCAAATGGCCCCCCAAATGAAACCCTGGTCACATTTCCCTACACGCCAATCTAGCCTGTTTCCCAAAGTGTTGGCTCTGCATTAGCAAAGGTTTGGAGTTAAGTACAGCATTACCAGTGAAGTTTTTGTTATCACAAGTTTTCTTTTAAAAAACCTTTGTGATCTTAGCCTTTTCAATGATTTACTTTCAAATTGTGCAACAATTTAAAAATTTCCCAAAGATTCATACACTCACAGAAGTAGAAACTGCTACCACCTTCCTAAAGAACACTTTAGCATTAAGTATCACCTTGCCCCCCTCATTTCCACCTGAAGGGGATCAGGATGTGCCACCCCAAAATATGCCACTTTGGCATAAGGATTATTTTGAGCAGAAGGCAACTGAAAATCCACTGATGCAGGGAAAGTTTTCTTCCCTCCCCTCACCCACCGAACAGCAGAGCATAAATTTTCCTTGTGAAGATGTCCCCCCTCTCCTGCACCAGCAAGAGCGACTCATCACCAGAGATGGCACTGAGATGAGTCTGTATAAACAACCCTTAACTAAAATAACCTTTGTCTTCTATTAGTTTTCCCCATATCTTTCCAAGTCACTTCCCCACAACTGATCATCCCTCAAAGCCCAAACCCCCTATTTTTGTTAAAATTGCATATATGCCCCCCAGTCTCACGACTTCTTGAGTTTCACTTCTTTTCTGTGAACTTCTGTGCACCGAAACTATGGATAAAATTGTACGCTTCTTCTCTTGTGGATCTAAGCTCACAGGTCCTCACAACACGAACTAAGAGGGCAGAGGAAAAGTTTTTTCTCCCAGACACAACTCTCGGAATTTATTCTTGGTAAGTAATCAAAAATTTCATCAAAGATTATCTACAGTAATGTCAGTCATAATATTATTTATAAAAGCCCCTAATGAAAAAAAGCCCCCACTAAGTTCCACAAAAGGAGAATAATTTAAGAGCCTGGAACGTTACGCAACAATTTAAAATGTATTTTCAAAAATACATATAAAAAGGCATTAAGTTCATGATATTATGTTTGGTAAAAATGCAATTTACAGAATTATATAAATACTGGGCATACAAAGCTGTATAGTGACATGATTTTATAAAGATTAAATATATAATACCAAAAAAACCCCCCGAGCCCAACAAAAAAGTAATGCATTAAAATATTAAGAGTTGTCTTTGGGTGTTGGAATTATAGGCGATTTCTTCTGCTGTGTTTCTACAACAGTTAGTAATTGTAAAAGTGTGTATATATATATACATATATATATAATACTATATATAATGCATAATTTTTAATATATAAATATATAAAAATATATAATATTAAGAAAAAAGACGCCCTAGCATATTTCTGAGGGAGCTACCGGCGTCCAACCCACAAACCACCATTGGAAGCCGC